GAAATGCCACAAATTGGGCAAGTTCAAGTGGTACAGGAATATAAATAGATTCTATAGATACAGATATCCTAGTCAAGTGATAAAATGTTTTTTTTTTTTTTCTTTAAGAACAGGAAAGCATTGATCAAAGGAAAGATGAGCTGGTCAGAAATCAGGAGATGGTTCTAGGTATGGGAACATGATGTGCAGTGGTTAGGAAGCAGTTAGTGTTTTGTGTATTTTAAGAAAGGCAAGTCATTGTATATGGCTGGAGTTTAATTTCTGGGGGTGAAACGCTGCCCCTGTTCAGTGTGGGTGGCTGAACCAAAGTCACTCATATGAATTTGGGATGATGCAAAATACCACACAGACACAAAATACCTTTTATAAGCTTCAGGATGGTTTCCCCATCTCCCGGCCTCAGGCTCCCCAAGAAGGGGGCAAGAGAAGATCACAAGAGGCTGGAGAGAGAGAAAAAGAGAGCGTGCGCACTTTAGGGAGTGGGCTTTTATTTGGGGGGATGCTGTTTCTTAGAACATTCTATCTGAAAAAGGCAGAAGGGGTAGGATTACAAAGGAACAGGTGAGTGTAACTCAACCCCAGCAGGTGATGCCTACACCTGGAGCCACGCCTTTTTATCTGAGCTGGGGTAACACCCAAGTTACTGAGGAAGACAATAATTGTTCAGGACCCGTGTGTCAGGACTAAAGGCGCATCCATCCAGATCGTCTTCCCACAGTGAAAGATAAGACTAATAAGGCATTCAGACAAAATTGTTAAAGAAGTCACATTGAAGAAGTGTAAGCAGGAGAGTGTTTAAGATGTGTTTTATAGGTATAGAATTATTGATTAAATCCTGGAATTTTTTTTAAAAAAGGATTTAAAAGATATTTTTGAAATAATTAGGAAGATAGAAATAGAGATAATGTATTAAATTTTATTACTTTGGCAGAGTTCAGTAATTTTGGTGTGGTAATGGCAGTATGTGTAGGAGAATTTCATACTTTTTAGAAGTACAAACTGAAGGAGCTAAAGGTAAAGTTTTTGTTTTTAGAGAAGGAAAGAGTAAATGTGGTAAATGAAAGCAATTGTTAAATAAATTGTTAAATACAGGTGAAGGATTTCACAAGTATTACTTGCATTTATCTTTCAATATTTCTGTAGTTTGAGTTTTTAAAATTAGATGTAAATTGGGAGAAAAGTATGCATATAAATGTGTTTATAAATGTGAGCTAGAGGAAAGGAAGGTTGGAGACAAACTATTTTTGGAAGCTTATTTCTCATTTTCAACCTCTTATCTAAAGAAAAAGTTCTGTTAATAGGGAGTTCTGTTACTTAATACTTAACAAAGATGAGCGGGAAACTTCCTCCTCAAATGAGAGGGCCCCGACATTCCCTAAGAGCAAGGAAAGGCTTATAAACAAACCTTGGTCCTTTCATTATTGACTTTGTTTGCAAAAGCCTATTTCTGTTTGTTTATTTTATTTTATTTACTTTTTGCTGGGGAGGGTACCAGAGATTGAATTCAGGAGCACTCAACCACTGAGTCACATCATCCTCAGCCCTATTTTGTATTTTATTTAGAGACAAGGTCTCACTGAGTTGCTTAGTGCCTCACCATTGCTGAGGCTGGCTTTGAGTTTGCAGGCCTCCTGCCTCTGCCTTCTGATCTGCTGGGATTATAGGTGTGTGCCACCATGCCCAACTTTATTTATTTTAAACTAGTGATTTTATTATTTGAAGTGAATAAACATACATGGATATACATACATATTCAGACCTTAATACACACACATACATGCATCCGTATCTATATATATTCACATATGCAAAGACCCAAAAATATATTCTTTTTCTACATATATGTTTTTTCCCCTGAAGGTTGCCAAATGATATAAAATGGGAAGTAAGACAGGCATGGTGGTGCACACTTGTAATCCCAGAGACTCGGCAGTCTGAGGCAGGAGGATCACAAGTTCAAAGCCAGTGCCAGCAACTTAGTGAAGTTCTAAGCAACTTAATGAGACCCTGCCTCAAAAATACAAAATAAAAAGGGCTTGGGTTGGTTGTGGCTCAGCAGAAGAGCACTTGCCTAGCATGTGTGAGGCACTTGGTTCGATTCTTGGCACCCTATATAAATAAATGAATAAAATAAAAGCCCATCAACAACTAAAAAGATATGTATAAATAATTTTTTAAAAAGGGCTGGGGATGGGACTCAGTGGTTAAGCACCTGGATTCATCTCTTGAACCAAATAAATAAATAAAGTAGAGAGTAAGACACTGTTTTGCTCTAGATACCCATTCCCCTTCTATCAGGACAAATACTGTTTGTCTCTTATTTATCTTGGATCTATATGTATTTTGACTATTTTTAAAATTGTGAATAAAAAAGCTTGACCATTTTCCCAGAAGAACTGTTACATTATTCACAATTTTCTTCTGAGCTGTTAACTCTTTTGGGACCTTCCTTATCATTTCAATCCCATGTCTTGGGTGTGAGCTGAGAATCCAATCCCTCTCCCTTATTAGGAATGTAGTAATTTCCGTTTGTTTCCTCATTTGTAGAATGGAGCTCTAATTTTTAATAAAAAGTAAAAAATTAAGAATGTATTTCAAGCCTGGCAGTGCTGATCTGTAATTCCAGTGACTTGGAAGGCTGACACAAGAGAATCACAAATTCAGCAACTTAGTGAGATTCTAGTCTCAAAATAAAAAATAAAAGGGACTGGGGGTGTAGCTGAGTGGTAAAATATCCATGGGTTCAATTCCAGCACCCCGGGCCCTTCAAAAAGAAGAGGAATGCATTTAAGTGTATATGTGGACTTTGCTTCCTGGTGAAAATAGCCCTTCCTCCCATAACTCTAAAGTTGGAAGTATTAGAATACTTTACATTTTGGTACTTGTTTGTACATGAAATTTTGCTTTTCATATTGTTACAATCATACAAATATGTATATCTGCAAATTGATTCTAAATATAAGCATAAAATATAAAGCCTATTTCTTTTTTTTAATATTTACTTTTTTTTTTTTTTTTTTTTTTAGTTTTAGGTGGTCACAATGTCTTTATTTTACATTTATATGTGCTGAGGATCGAACCTAGTGCCTCATGCATGCTAGGCAAGCACTCTACCACTAAGCCACAACCCCAGCCCTAAAGCCTATTTCTTAATGTGGACCTTTATTAATGAAGTTTTAAAGTCACTGCTTTAGAACATTTTGAAGGGCTGGAGTTGTAGCTCAGTGGTAGAGTGCTTGCCTCGCATGCATGAGGCTCTGGGTTCGATCCTCAGCACCACATAAAAATAAATGAATAAAATTAAGATTTTGTGTTCATCTACAACTAAAAAAATATTAAAAGAAAAGATTTTCAAAACCGTGAAAGACAGACATGGCAAAAAACTACATTTATTTCTTTTTCTTTCAAGCTCTCCACTAAAATAGCAATAAAATAATTTAAAGGGTATTAGATGATAAGGGAAAAAAGTAAAAGAAAATGAAAATTCCATGGTTGAGAATTTATAACATCATTTTAAAAGAAGAAAATTGAACAAAGTACTTAGAACACTACCAGAAACTACAATTAAATTGCCTACTGATGGGGCTGGGGATGTGGTAGCGCGCTCACCTGGCATGCATGAGGCACTGAGTTCGATCCTCAGCACCACATAAAAATAAAGATATTTTAAAAATGGTCAAGATGGTAAATTTAAAAAAATAATAAACTGCCTACTGAGGACAATACTAAAAAGAAGTGAACTATTAATATTACAATACCTCTGAAAAAACTATAGACCTAAATTTAGCAGGTACAGGGCAACATGGGGGGGGGGGTGTGCTGAGCTAAAAAGTGGGATTAGAATTTTTTTTTTTTTAGAGAGAGAGAATTTTTTAATATTTTAGTTTTTGACGGACACAACATCTTTGTATGTGGTGCTGAGGATCGAACCCTGGCCAACCGCTTGAGCCACATCCCCAGCCCAGGATTAGAATTTTGTAATCAATTATTAGACTGCCAGGGACCCTTTCCACACCCTTCATAGCCAGGTGATTATACTGCTTCTACCTCACAGAAGTGAAGGAGTGTGGAGGTATATTTTTCTTAAACCTGAATCAGAAAAGTCTAGACTTTGTTGACTCCAACCAAAGTAGACGATATGGGTGAGGTTTGGGATTGAAGTGGGAATTTCAGTCTATATTCTGAAAAATGTGACTCTCCTGCACTCTTTCTCTGGCCTTCTTTTAGAAAGTGGTAGCAAGTTAACTGATTTTCCTTTAGAGAAATGTGTGACCCCCCAAAGGAAAGAATTCCAAGAATTGATATTTGGCAGTCCCCAGTGAAAAGATTAGTTTATTATCCCACTGGCACATTGAAGCCCATCCAGCCAAGAAATGAATCATATACACAGACTTTATAGTCAACTTTGTAATGCCTCTATTAAATATGAACAATTAGGGATCACGGTAGAGTTGAAGAATATATCTATCATGAAAGAGAAAAACCTAAACAATTAGAAGGAAGAAATGTGAAGAAAATAATAGAGGAAACAAAAACTTTTTTTTTCAAACAGCAAAAAGCAAAGTATCTTCAAAGAGATATCAGATAGTAAATCTATTTAAAATAGCATTTAATGCATGAGAAAGATGGCCTCAATATTATATATGATGTCTGAATTAAGGATACACACATATGTCATAAAGATAGATAAGAGCAAGAAAATCTCTTAAGGAAGAGAAAAATGAAAATTTAAGGAGGCAAAATATAACATACTTAGATGATCAGTTTAAGAAATGTCATCCAATTCATGAATTGTACAGAAGGGAAAAATAAAGGAATTACAACAAAAAGTACAATAAAGTTTCCTAGATTAATATCTACATTGAAATACTCTACTCACTGAGCATTTCAATGAGAAAAAAAATAACTACTAAAAACAAACACAAGAAGGGCCAAAAACTTACAGAGGAAAGAAAATTAAAATGATTAATACTTTCTGTCACCATTATTATTCTTTCCAGCAGCATTAGAAGTCACTGGAGACATTTCTTCAAATCCCTGAGGAGAAAGGGTTTCTTTTAGAAGCCTACAGTTACCAAAAATTGTCATTTGATATGAGAGCAGAATAAAAAATGTTTCCAAACCTGCCAACCAGATTGAAGAGGAAACAAAGTAAGGACACTTTTGAAGGGGCTGGGGTTGTGGCTTAGTGGTGGAGTACTTGCCTAGCATGCCTGAGGCACTGGGTTCGTTTCTCAGCACCGCATATAAATAAATAAAAAGGTTCACTGACAACTAAAAAAAATATATTTTTTAAAAAAGATACTTTTGAGAAATTAACTTTTGGTGGGCTGGGGTTGTGGTTCAGAGGTAGAGCGCTCGCCTACCATGCATGAGGCACTGGGCTGGATCCTCAGCACCACATAAAAATAAAATAAAGATATTGTATCCACCTATAACTAAAAAAAAAAAAAAGAAATCAACTTTTGGACTGTTGTAGAATGCAGCATTGGATCCACAGAGTTTAATCCTATTCTTTCATCACTCAGCAGGAGCTAAAGTCCTTGTTTTATCTGTCACCTGCCTCCCTATTCCTTATGTTTTAAACATACTTTGCAAAATGTGGTGGTAAGACCTAGAACCTAAGGATACATGGTAATAGTAGTCAGGAGATTAGGAAACTGTTGGGGTGATGATAGAAATAAAATATTTTTATCCACTGTGGAGCCATGTTTCAGCGTGCTAGTTAACTCCAGCTGTTTAGAGAATTGCTGTGGTTAACACTTCCAGGAGTAGAGTTCTCAATGACTTTTAGGTAATCAAAATTTTGATTCAACCAAGCATGGTTTTAAAACAATATTCCTATGTAGGTGGTATCCAAGTCATTATAAATAACATTTGATATCAATATAATATCTAGGCTGTGAATTTGTTTCTGAAATTATTCTGCTTAACTTTGAAATCCTCCAATATACTGTATTCTCTTTTCTCTGAAGCCTTGCCTATTGCCATCACTTGCCTATAATACTTTCTCACCCCACACTCACCCTAGTGACTTTACTTTATACTATTATCTTAATCCTAACTTTGTGTAAAAGGTGTTTTTGCCCAGTGTCAAAATAAACTGAGGGACTTTTGCTCAGTGCTGTCCAAGCACACACTTCTCAAAGGTTTTTAATTGAGGCATCTTTAGGTTTCTCTGAGTGATATATAGACCTAGAAAGTCATCCTTACGATGAGGAAAAAATCTGGACAAACTACAAATACTGACTTTTCTTGATCTTGTCAAAGAACTGAGGTCACAGGACAACCAAGTAATTTTGAATCTGGGTGAGAACAGATGGCTTGCTGGGAAAGACAGGACTCAAGTTATACTTCCCTAATATGAACAATTCCAGACAGCACATAAGCTAAAAAGAAAAAAATTTTAGCAAATCATTAAAGATTGAATGCAAGCTAGTAAGAATGTGAAACTACTAGGTATTTGCAAAATTAGAGAGTTTTCAAATTGTAGACTTCTCCAGAAATGTCTCTAAGGCACTCACAGGTAGGATGAGGTAAGTACTAAGAAATTTTTCCTTGTTTTTCTAGCTGGAAATGAGGAATAGCAGTCCAGACCTTCCTTCCCTGTCTCCCCTGTAGAACAGAAACTTTAATCTACATAAAGAAAAACAGCAAAAACTGTTGCCTTAGGGTACTTGTGGAAACTGCAGTTTAGGAAAGCGACCAGTAACAGAAAAGCACTACCTCTAGGGGTAGGGGAGGAATGTGTGCTAGGTCTACCACTACAGCTGGAGGAGAGGCAAGAGTACTTGTGAAGGCCACATACCCAAGGTTCAGAGACTCAAGCCAGTCCAAGATTGAGGCTTAGTGATAACTCCTACCTGGCCCAGACCAAGATAATAAGAATCAAGGAAAAACAATAGAAGAATGCAGCTGGGAGGTCTTCAAGAGAGATTTTCTATGGAAAGCAAACAGAATACTCAAAGCAAAGGAAGAATCGTTCATTGAGAAAACAAGCATGGCAAACCAACCCTTACCTAAACAAAGATATTAAAAGAATTTGAAACCACTAGTGAATTGGGAGTAATAATAGCAATGACAAATACATTGACTAGATTATCATAAATTCATGCAAAGGAAAGCATGTCCTCTTGATGCACAAAAATACTTACCTTCGTATCTTTTTTTGTTATCCAAGGTGTCTAGATTTCAACAAAAATTAGGAGGCATGTGAAATGCCAAGAAAAAACATACCTCAATGATACAAAACAAATAATTATAACCAGACTTAAATATGACAAAGATGTTAGAAGAAACCATCAGTAATTTAAAATAACTGACTAGCCAGGTGCAGTGATGCATGCCTATAATCCCAGCAACTTGGGAGGCTGACTTAGGAGGATTGCAAGTTCAAGGCTAGCATAAACAACTTTACAAGGCCCAAAGCAACTTAGTGAGACCCTACCTCAATATGAAAAATAAAAGGGCTAGGGATGTAACTCAGTGGTAAATCTGGGTTTAATCCCCAGGACATTAATAAGAAAATAAATAAAGTAATTAATTAATAAAATAGCTACTATATAATGAACCATATGGTTAATTGCAACAGAAATGGAAACTGTATGGAAGAATCAAATAGAAATATTAAAAATCAAAATCATAGTTAACAGAGATCAGTAATGCTTAGAACAGGCTCATTAGTAGATTGGACACAGCTGAGGGAGGAATCTGATTTTTTTTTTTTAAAGGTAGGTCAATAGAAGTTCTACAAACTGAAGCACAGTGCAGAAAAGGAGGGGGGAACAGAATAGAGTCTTTAAGAGCAATGGAACATACCTACAGTCTCACATAACTGTAATTGGAATCCTAGGAAAGAATGAGGAAGAGAATAATTGAAGAAAAATGGCTGAGGATTTTCCATAATTGGCGACAGTAAACCATAGATCCAAGAAGCTCAGAGAACAACGAGCAGGATGTATGCCAAAACAAACATATGTCTAGGCATATCTTATTTAAACAGTTGAAAACCAAAGATAAAGAAGAAATCTTGAAGGTAAGAGAAAAAGAAATTGCCTATGAGGAACAAACATAAGATTATGTATATAATCTTATCAGACACCGTGCAAGCTAGAAAATTCAAAGAAACATTTTTTAAAAAAATATTTTTTAGATGTTAATGAACCTTTATTTTATTCATTTATTTGTGTGTGGTGCTGAGAATCAAGCCCAGTGCCTCACACATGCTAGGCAAGTACTCTACCACTGAGCCACAACCCCAGCCCATCAAACATTTTTAAAGTACAGAAAGAAAAAGAAGTTGTCAATCCAGAACACTATATCTAGCAAAAAAAAAATCCTTCAAAAATGAAGGAGGGAAGTGACATCAGCAAGGTGGTAGAGTAGGAAGGCTTGGACCCTTCCCCATTCCCCCAAACACTTCCATTCAGTAACAGTTCATGGCAAATTTCCTTTATGAGAAAACAGAAAGCAATTGAAAAAGCCTCTACATCCAGGAGAACATGAAACCAGACTCACTGAAGCCTGAAAGCAGATTTAGTACAACTTCTTGCTGGACACTCTGCCCCTGGTAAAGCTATATAACCAGCACAGGATTTTTTCACTCCCAGGCTCACCCAAGAGAGGGGAGGGGATCATTTGCAGGTCCACTGCCCCATCTTCTGGAGTGGGCTCCTCAGAGGACTGGCTTTTGTCATACCAAACTTGAGGTCTGAGGAGTCTGGCATAGCCTTGCTGCTCAGGGAGGATGGAGGCAATAGCAGGCTGGTAGATATCATCAGTCCTCCTCCACTGTTCAGCACAGGGCTAGCAGATAACATGTCTCAGTTCTTACCTACCTTCTGGGGAAGGAAAAAGTTGATCTGTTCATTCCACACCTCAACTTCTCAGGGGCTGCTCAAAGAACTAGCATCTCTCTTGTCAGTTTTAGAATTCTGAGAGGACTGGCACAGGGGAAGATGCAGATGGTATCCTGGGCTGGTAGATGGCATAGCTCCCCACACACTGGTTTGGCACAAAGTGAGGAGACAACTGCAGTTGCCCCTTAAGAAGATAGAAGCCCCTAAAATCTCTGACCAGGCTACTTGGTGGAGTCTTCTCCTGTTCAAGGCCAGTTCGTGAAGACTAGGAGAGGGACCTACTTTGTCTAATATACAGACAATACAGGACAAGAGTGTCAAAGAAAATGAAAAATAAAAAAAGAAAAACAGGCAAAGATGTTCTAAACAAAGGAAAGTGATTGGTTTTCAGAAACTAACCTTAATGAAATGGAGTTATATGATTTATCTGATAATTAAAAATAACTCTCTTAAAGATCCTCACCAATGTCAAGAGAACAGTGTATGAATGAAGTGAGCATTTCCACAAAGACAGAAAAAATGTAAGAAAATGCCAAATTATGGAACTAAAGAACACATCAATTGCATTGAGGAAAAAAATTCATTAAAGAGATCAGCACCAGACTAGATCAGGCAGAAGAAAGAATCAGCAAGTTCAAAGACTCTGGAAATAATTCAATTAGAGAAGCAAACTGAAAAAGATTAAAAAGAGTGAGAAAATCTTAAGGGAATTATGATGTCCCATCAAGCAGACCAGCTTGTACATTATGGGAATTGAAGAATAGAGGCAAAATGGTCAGAAAGCTGATTTTTTAAAAAAGTGGCTGAAAACTCCCTAAATCTGGAGAAGACTCAAGGAACCCAAAGAACACAATTAAGACAAAACCAAAAATAAGAGCACCAAGAGAAAAGCAACTTGTTCCATACAAGGGAACTTTGATAATGTTGTCAATGGATTTTTCAACAGAAACTGCAGGACAGAATAGAGTAGAATGATGATATTCAAAAAGCTAAAAAATTGGGGCTGGGGTTGTGGCTCAGTGGTAGAGCACTAACCTAGCACATGGGAGGTCCTGGGTTCGATCCTCAGCACCACATAAAAGTAAATAAAATAAAGATATTGTATGCAACTACAACTAAAAAAATAAATATTAAAAAAAAGAAGCCAAAAAATTAACCAACCTAGATGCCCTTCAGTAGATGAATGGATTAAAAAATGTGGCATATATACACGATGGAATATTACTCAGCAATAAAAGAATAAAATCACGGCATTTGCAGGTAAATGGGTGGAGTTGAAGAAGATAATGCTAAGTGAAGTTAGCCAATCCCCAAAAAACAAATGCTGAATATTTTCTGTAATATAAGGAGGCTGATTCATAGTGGGTTAGGGAGGGGGAGCATGGGAGGAATAGACAAACTCTAGGTAGGGCAGAGGGGTGGGAGGGAAAGGGAGGGGGTAGGGGTTTAGAAATGATGGTGGAATGTGATGAACATCATTATCCAAAGTACATGTATGAAGACACAAACTGGTGTGAATATACTTTGTATACAACCAGAGATATGAAAAATTGTGCTCTATATGTGTAATATGAACTGTAATGCATTCTGCTGTCACATATTAAAAGATTAATTAAAAATAACAAAAAAGCTAAAAAATAATTAATTAATAAAAACCAACTAGTAATACTATACCCAGCAAAACTTCCTTTAAAAATGTAGGTAAGAGAGTTGGGGTTGTGGCTCAGTGGTAGAGCCCTAGTACATTGAGGCACTGGGTTTAATTCTCAGCACCATATATAAATAAATAAAATAAAGGTTCATTGACAACTAAAAAATACTTCTAAAAATGTAGGCGAGGGCTGGGATTGTGGCTCAGTGGTACTTGCCTAGCACATGCAAGGCCCTGGGTTTGATCCTCAGCACCACATAAAAATAAACAAACAAAATAAAGGTATTGTGTCCAACTACAACTAAAAAATAATAATAATTAAAAAAATGTAGGCGAGATAAAACCTCCCAAATGAAAGATGAGATAATTCACCACACCACCACTAGCAAGTTAAAATGGAAAAGCACTAAATTCAACATGATAGTATAAGATAGGAGGAAACTAAGGCTGGAATGTAGCTCAGTAATAAAATGTTTGCTTAACATTCTCAAAGCCCTGAGTTCAACCCCCAACTCCAAATAAAAAAAAAAAAAAAGAAAAGACAAGCTGAGCGTGGTGGCACATGCCTGTAATCCCAGTGATTTGCAAAGCTGAGGCAGGAGGTTTGCAAGTTCAAGGCTAACTTCAGCATTTTAGTAAGGCACTAAGCAACTTAGTGAGACATTGTCTCAAAATCTCTGGTACCAAAAAAAATAGGAAACTTATTTAGTTAAATATATAGACAAATGTGTACTGTATTATTGTAAGGACAGGCAAATCACTTTCAATTGTAGTGTAACTGTTAAAAGACAAAAGTATTAAAAATAAATAAAATATGTTAAAGGATACATAATATGAATAGATGTAAATTGTGTGAGCAATAACAAAGTGTGTGGAAGAAAAGTTAAAATATATTTTTGTATGTAATTGAACTTAAGCTATTATAACCTTAATATAGACTTCCGTGTATATATAAAATGGCCCTCAGGCAACCAACCATACTTGCAAACTATTGAAGTTATGCAAAACAAAAAGAGGAGTCAAAACACATCAATATAAAAAAATCAGCAGAACACAAAGGAAGACATCAAGAGAGAAAAAAAATGAAGGAACAGGACTAATAGAAAATAACTAACAAAATAGCAATAGAAAAATCCTTTTCTAACAATAATTACAGTAAATGGATTAAACTCCTCAACCAAGGGACACAGACTGAGTAGATGGATGTAAAAACAAGACCCAAGTATATGCTGCCCAAGAAACTCACTTATTATTTAAGGACATAAATAGGCTGAAAGCGAAGAGATGGGGGAAAAAAAAAAATAATCCAAATTTGGGCTGGGGCTGTAGCTCAGTGGTAGAGTGCCTGCCTCACATGTGTGGGGCATTGGGTTCGATCCGCAGCATAAAAATAAATAGGAGATGATATTGTGTCCATCTACAAGTAAGAAAATATTTTAAAATAAATAAATAAAATAATAATAATAATATAAATTATAATTGTAACCCAAAGAGAGCAGGGTGAGTAGACAAAAAAAAAAAAACTGAGTCAAAATTTATGAGTTGAAGGACATTTTCTAATGAGAAAAGGCAGATATAACAGTTATAAATATATGTGCATCCAACACCAGAACACCCAGATCTATAAAGGAAACATTGACAGAACTGAAGGGAGAGTTGCATGGCAATAACATAGTAAGAAACTTAAATATCACATTTTCTCTTCTCCCTCCTCCTCTTTTTCTTCCTTCATTCTTCCTCTTCTTTTTTTTCCTTCTTTGTCTTAGTTGGGATTAGAGTCATGTTCCACCACACCCAGCTTAATACCTAATTTTTAATAATAAATGATACATCCATTGAGAAGATCAATAAAGAAACAGGGTTTTAATAACACTATAGGCCAACTGGACCTAACATACATAGAATGTTCTACCCAACAGCAACAGAATACCTATTCTTCAGCACAAATGGACCTTTCTCCAGGATACATCACACGTTAGATCACAAAACCTTAACAAATTTAAGAATATCGGAGTTTTACAAAACCTTTAAGGAAGAATTAATACCAATACTTTTCAAGTTATTTCAGGAAATAGAAAAAGAAGGAGCTCTGCCAAATTCATTCTATGAGGCCAACATCACCCTGATTCCGAAACCAGACAAAGACACCTCAAAGAAAGAAAACTACAGACCAATATCTCTGATGAACATAGATGCAAAAATCCTCAATAAAATTCTGGCGAACCGGATACAAAGGCACATCAAAAAAATTGTGCACCATGATCAAGTTGGATTCATCCCTGGGATGCAAGGATGGTTCAATATACGGAAATCAATAAATGTTATTCACCACATCAATAGACTTAAAAATAAGAACCATATGATCATCTCAATAGACGCAGAAAAAGCATTCGACAAAGTACAGCATCCCTTTATGTTCAAAACATTAGAAAAACTAGGGATAACAGGAACTTACCTCGACATTGTAAAAGCTATCTATGCTAAGCCTCAGGCTAGCATCATTCTCAATGGAGAAAAATTGAAGGC